ACCATCCGGAAATCACACAATCATACATTTTCGAGGCAATGATAAGAATATCTACAAACACGCATAATCTTTTCGCGTTCAACGCAACTCAGGCCTTTGGCAGATAAACACCTCTACACATTTCTCTTACACTCGCATACTTCGCATTAACAGAGCAACCGGAAACATCATGCGAATGGTCCCTTATGGATAGAAGTCCGTGTCTACCACATTCACATTCTTGTATCTTTTTTAACTTTGTTTATGTTAGTGTGTAATTATCTCGCGTTTCTACCAATTTATTTTTTCCGTAGAGTTTTTTTAAGTAGTGATAATTATGGTAATAATAAGTTATTTCACATCAGGGCGGTGCCTTTTATGGGTCTAGGATCCTGATTGCACTTGCAAACACTTTTTGTTGTTTACTTATTGACATGCCTGTTTGCTTTTTCACTCCGTGTAAAGATTACAGTATTACCCCATTTTTAAAAGTGTTTGAATTTCTCCTGACGCTTAATGAGAACGCGAGTGTGTCCCAGATTATTACATGGGTTTTAAAAGGCATTCGCAATGATGAAAGGGATAAATCTACCAAAGGCTCGACACGAACGAATGGACGGTGAATTCAGCGAGCTTGGGGAAGATGTGGACAGATCCGGGGAAGTCTAAGAAGTCTGACTGCCCAACTTTAGTTTGTTGGCGAGGACAGGTTGATAGTCTTTTCTTCCACTTGGAGTGATCATGGGTTAGGATAAACGAAATAGACCCTTCCACGGTTTTTTTAACTTTTGACATGGAAAAGTTAAGGAAAATCCGTCGACACCACTGGAAAAAGCGCCTCAAAATTAGTAAAATTTCTAAGTTTGGAAGTAATTTGTTTAAAAAAAAAAACGAAAACAATTATAGCTCCTCAAAGTCGCGAAATTTTGCGGACGTTTGTATGGTCGAGGGTACAAACTTGCCTCTGACCATACAACTTTGGTTAGCTATATCTTCGCTCTGAAGACGTATCGCTTTCAAATTTGGCAATTTTTGCTAATTTTAAAGCACTTTTTTCAGTGGTGTTGACGGATTTTCCCAAACTGGCTCATGTCAAAGGGTCTATTTAGTAAAGGGCGACGTCAGGGTAAACAGATACGTTTCCTTAAATTCGCCGCTATTAACTACATCAGACATCGTGGCATTTCATTCAAATACTTTATTGAAAAAGCGGGAGATTAAACTCAAGGTTTTGAATAGAAGAAATGCTTGCTTTCTTGCCTGGTGCCGTCTCTCTTGAAGGTTTGCATGATTGTCTTATTTTTAATTAGAATAAAGTGAAATTACGAGTAAGAAAAGTAAGCGTTTCACACGTGATGAAGGATTCAGGCAGCGGCACTTTCTTCACCACCAGTTTCTTCCATCGGTTCCACTCCAGCTCCTATCAAAATTAAAGAAAAAGAAAAAAAATGGTAGTTACTCACGGTGTAACTTAATTGAGCAATACATTATTTTAACCTAAGTTGATTTTTTGAACACATCATAGATCATTTTACAGTTACAGGCGAAGACGAGGCTGGAGATGACCATACAATACAACCCTTCCTGCTTTATTATGTAAATCCTGATGTTTTTAGGCTAACTAGGACCTTTTTTTTAGCACAATTTCCATAAGAAAAGGANGTATCGCTTTCAAATTTGGCAATTTTACTAATTTTAAAGCACTTTTTTCAGTGGTGTTGACGGATTTTCCCAAACTGGCTCATGTCAAAGGGTCTATTTAGTAAAGGGCGACGTCAGGGTAAACAGATACGTTTCCTTAAATTCGCCGCTATTAACTACATCAGACATCGTGGCATTTCATTCAAATACTTTATTGAAAAAGCGGGAGATTAAACTCAAGGTTTTGAATAGAAGAAATGCTTGCTTTCTTGCCTGGTGCCGTCTCTCTTGAAGGTTTGCATGATTGTCTTATTTTTAATTAGAATAAAGTGAAATTACGAGTAAGAAAAGTAAGCGTTTCACACGTGATGAAGGATTCAGGCAGCGGCACTTTCTTCACCACCAGTTTCTTCCATCGGTTCCACTCCAGCTCCTATCAAAATTAAAGAAAAAGAAAAAAAATGGTAGTTACTCACGGTGTAACTTAATTGAGCAATACATTATTTTAACCTAAGTTGATTTTTTGAACACATCATAGATCATTTTACAGTTACAGGCGAAGACGAGGCTGGAGATGACCATACAATACAACCCTTCCTGCTTTATTATGTAAATCCTGATGTTTTTAGGCTAACTAGGACCTTTTTTTTAGCACAATTTCCATAAGAAAAGGAAAGAGGTTTGTGTCAAAACAAGGTCAACCCCAGCCTCACGTTCACTCAAAGGCTAGGATACCAAGCTCACAAGTGTAAAATGGTCTATTATCAATGCTACATTTCCATCCTTGGTCAAAAGCAGTTGACACCAGCCATAAACATTTTAAATTAAAACTGATGTGCAAGCCTTGCACATCAAAATGCAATCAACTTCTTCTATGAGCTGTAGTTTGTTCTGTCAAGCTTCTCGTTGTCATAAAATATCATATATATGTCTAGAAATCCTGAAGTTTTTGACAGACCAGTGAACGCCTCCAGGCGTCTAGTTTGTGTTGCTTTCTGTACCCTGTGAGCGACTGTGAGTAAGCTCTCTCGTTGCGTTAACTCCCTAACTCATACTCGTAATGCCACGTCTCCTGTTTGTCAAATACGAGAGAAAACTCGTCAAGTGTAATAATATTAGTCTACAGATGGTAGATGGAAATGAATAGAATATATTAGAAATATTTGAAATAGATAAAAGTTACCTTGACTGAATTCTTTCAGGTCAACGTAATCTAGGTCTGCACAGTCAACCACCGTTTGGCCGCTTTCTAATGTTTTGAATACCCAAGGCTGAATGCGGGTGGCCCCGTCAAGATTGTCGCACATGACTCTAGCCAAAGTAACTTTTCTTATTTCATCCAGCTGTTGGAGCGTAAAGCCGGTCAAGTGGTCATCTCTCTCATACCAAAAGCGATCACCAGAGCGGAACTTTCCAAACTGCTTTAGTATAATATGGGTATTGACGCTTCCAAGCACGCTTCCATTCATGGGGACCTCTGATATGCTGAGGGGAAAAATATCCCCATCTTTGACATTTTTGTATACTAACTTAAATCTTGCAATCTGCTCTGAAGAGAAAGTATCCGAAAGGTCATCAAAAGAATTAACAGCTCCCAATCCAAGCACTTCTCGATATTTGGTGTAACCTGGTAGGCCATGGTCCCGACCACGCTGAATATTGATGGCCATGAGATCGCCAAAGATATTGCCTTCAATGACGAGTCGCTCGCGTACAGCGTTCACAAAGATACTATAAAAGGAATGAGATTCTGTTAGAGAAATCATCTTTCTAATACTAAGCGTCTACATTAAGGAAGGAGCAGTCGTCCACAAGCAATGACTCAATCAAGAAAGTTAAAAGGCCATCTGGGGACTAAAAATAATTTTGTACTAAAGTCCGATAGTCAGTTCAGTGCTTGGTGCAGCTGATTTAACAAGAAAATTTAAACTTAAGAACGCTTTACTCGACTTTTCGATGCTTCGAACATCATTATCAAGAGTGTAAAGTTTCAAAGTTGTTAAAAGAGGTGTAGTTTGAATAAAGAAGATTGCATTCGTGCGTGCTTCATTATTATGGGTGGATTCATTCGCAGCATACGCGTATATCCATCGCATTTGCCCGTTTGAATTTTTTACTGTTTTTGAGCTTTAAAAAAAAAAATTCAGTGAGCAAATGCGACGGGTATACCGTCGTAGGCTGCAAATGAATCCACCCTATGTAATGTATTAAATAGAAAAGCTTAGCGCGAATCGAATGCGATTGCATGTTCAGTGAAGTTTTGAGTCTTTGCATAAATAGTATCTCGTAGACAAGGCATTTGAATTTATTTCTGCATTTTTTGAGGACTGAAAAATTGTCCGTGAGGGTTGGCTTCTCGACCCCATGTTCTTTCACATGATGTGCCTTCCGATCAACGAGCTGAGCTTGTGTGTTCGCTGATGCGTGGATGTAGGTGTCGATTAGTGAAACCGACATAATCCATGTCACATTATAGACCACATTAGAATAATTTATGTGAACAGAAGCTCTATCTAGTATGGTTTTCGCGCCGACGCAAGAGCTATAGATATAGTGTGAAGCTAGCGTTAGGTTATGTTCATACTATGAGGGAGTCATGTAGCGATGTCATGAAAATTTAATCATATGAGGCTATTAAGATTGTACGACAAAAAAGGGTATGATGGAGTATAAAAGAACACAACGTTACACGGAAAGAATGCTAAAAAGGGTCACCAATAAACGATGGGAGTTTGACCTTTATGCGGGCTGACTGTGAAGACCTTTGGTGAGAGAGGAAGCTATAACTGCAGTCTTGGTTAGATGGACCCGATATGCTGGGGTCAGGAAATGGACAGGGCATTGCTGGTGTGTTGCTAGCGTGCTGGGTCAGTAAAAATACTACACTGCTGGAGTTAGAGTCCTAGGGACCTAAATCAAGCCCAGTCTAAATATCATTAAGGGTTAAAGAGCGCTCTACTTACCGATCAGGAGTCTGAGCCTCCAAAGCTATCAGCCCGAACAAAATTCTTGTAAAGACGCTTTGTTCATTTTTATTAAAAAAAACCTTTCTGGTCTAAAGAAGTCAACTTGCTCATCAAAACGAATGTTTCTAGGCAGGGACCGATCAGATCCTCTAAATCGACTAAAGGTGCCGTCGGCTAATCTCAAGGCAAAAAGGGCGCGAATTAAACTGTGACCCATTCTCAGAGCAGATGTAGAGAAAACGTTGGTGCATTGCACATTCTCTTCGGGGTCATATCCAGTGAAGAATTTTCCTTTAGGTTTTAAAAGAACACCAAATTGTTTTCTCTGAAAAAGAAATATAAAAACATTTTTAAAATGTGCTCTCTTGTATTAAAATGCCGGGGCAAGGATGACGCAAATAATGTGTGTGCTCTCGCCGATCAGTTATCAGTTAATTGGCGGTTTTTTTTCAATTATGGAGGCCCCCTTAGTTTAGACTCTGTTTAATTAACAATTAGTTCATGCGTCAGCGTGCGTATGTCGAGATATTGAGCACGCGGGAAGTTTGGAGAGCACTCAAGAGGCTAGAGTTGCACGAGGCGCAGCCGAGTGCAACTCTAGCCTCTTGAGTGCTCTCCAAACTTCCCAAGTGCTCAATATCTTGACATACGCACAGCTGCAGCATGAACTAATTGTTTTATAACATTATCAAAGTGATCAATGCAGCAGTTAACTTAAAATGTTATTGTTGTAGGGCGCACTCAAAGCAGTACGCGTCAATGTTTCTGTATGACTAAATTTTTTTTCCCTCACAGTTAATCTTATGTTTTTATCCTGAAACTGAGAGAAAGTGTACTCTAAAATGATTGTAAAATCCATATTTAGGTGCCGGAAAACTATTAATTTACCGAAAAATTGTTATTGAGAGAAAACAAGTT